GAGTGCATCCTTTGTAAATTTAAAGTGTTGTTGTAGCAATGTTAGAATTTGTTGTACTTTTATGCGCAAACGGAAGCGAATTCTAACAAAGTACCAATATCAACGTCGTAGGTGAAAGCTAAAACAAACAATCTCAAACTAATAAAAGAGATTTATGTGGTTCGGCGTAAAGCCTACATCCACGAGTGAAGCACGACGAGGAATTTCACTAAACAAACGAAGATTACAAAAGAATATTTAAACTCTCATAACCCAAATCCCACAAATTACAAACCCTAAACCAAACGAGTAGAGAACCCAAAAACTAACTGAGAAGATTCTCCCAAATTGCTCTCCAACTCACAGACTCACAAATTGACTCTCACCAAATTGCCACACGAATGAGCCACACAAAATACACTAACCCTAAGGTCCTATTTATAGTGCATAGGACTTAGGTTACAATAAGAATCCTAATAGGAAGTAAATACAAATCCTAATCAAATAGGTAATTAACAAAATCTCTCCACCAAGGAAACCAACTAAGAAGTCAAAATCCAAACCCAAATAGGACACCAAAACCAAATAGGTAACACAAACCTAATTTTTTGCATCATCCTAATTTTGAGGCGTAAAACCCAACACAATTGACCTGGCAGCGAGCTGTAGTCCATTAGTAGGAGATACTTTTCTGCACTTATTTTAGAAGTTGTTTTAAGTTTAAATGCTAGGACTTATTTTTGGTGAACTGGGGGGAACAACCCCAAACAAACTAAACTATCCCCCCCCCCCCAAAAAAAACCCCCCAAAAACGCAAACGTGTAAGTAGCATGTTTAATGAAGGAACAAGGAAGAAAAGCTTCAGGTGCAGACACTGGACAACTCTGTCACAGAGAAAAGAGGCAAAAATTATGGTGAGACGAGATTCAGTGGCGACTGCCACTATTGCGGGAAAAAGGGTCACATAAAGAAGCATTGTCGTAAATGGAAAAGGGAACAAAAAATGAGAACAATACTGTAGGTGTTGTGACTTATGATGAAGCTTCTTAATGTAGATGATCGATGTTTTCTGGCAAAAAAGTCTATAGTTTCTTTTATTAGGGAAAATGATAAGTCACCCATTTCAGTTACTGTTAAATAGTTTGTTATCTCTAAATGTAATTAGCTGTGCTAATGTTTGTGATTAGTTAGAATTGTTATAAGGTTAGGCAGTTAAGGGGTATCTTTGTAAATAGCCAAAGGCTATATATATATGTCTTCAGAGTGTACAAATTAACTATTCAGAAATATAATTGAAAGCTTACAGAGGAAGTTTCCAGTTTCTATATCTTTTGCCAATGAAGATGAGTAGTTTGATCAAGGGGAGCCTGGTCATGAGTAGTTCGATAAGGGGGAGCTTGGTCATGAGAAGTTTGATCAAGAGGAGCAATCACATTTTGGTATACTTTCCTCATGGTCTGGAGGGGGAGATTGTTGGATTTTTCCAACCCATGATGAGTTGTCCTAAGGCTATTGGGAAATATAGTCTTAAGAGGATTAAATTGTTTTCCCAATTGAAGTTGGTTACCCAATTGGAATTGGGAAAACCAATTGGATTTGTTTAGCTAATTGGAGCATAACTAGATTCCAATTAGGATTAGTAATCCTTATTGAAGAAGACCTTTATTATGTCTACATAAAGGGGATATTGTACTAGTTTTGAATTGGAGCAAAACAATAAATTGTATACCACTCAAAGAATTAGAGTGAGAGAATATTGTAAAGGCAAAGTGTGTGCAAGAGAAAAGAAATGAGATAAAGAGTTTTTTTTTTTTTTCTTCTTGTTCTTTAAGGTTTCTCGTCAAGTCTTAATTCTAGAGACTTGGCAAGATCCGTTGTACTCATCATTGATATAGTGAAAGATTGTTGTTTGTTCTGTTTTTCCCATTCTTAAACGCGATATTCACAACAACAAAAATGTTTGATCTCAAAGCAGCAAATCTTATGGCAACTGATCAAAAGAGAGGCAAGAGGGTGAAACTGATGAGCTGCATCCAGCTGCAGCAAAGTAACAGCAGCCGCAGAATACATTTCCACAATCAGCTTAATAATGCCCTTGTCCATGCCAAGGGCTAGAGCTTACTAGCGTCTAAGGGTTTACTCTACACATAAGCTAGTACTATTCCATTTTGGATGGTGAATGAATACTGATTCAACATAAAATTACACTGTCCCCTTTACATATTTCATTCTTATGATTTTAGTGTTTTCGGTAGCATGAAGAAAATGTAAAATAAATAAATAAATATAATCTCTTAGGCATCAGCTTTTTGAATAGATGGCAGTACGGGGCATGTGTACATACTACGAAAAAGGGAAAGGCTGATGACAAAGATGTTCATGGTGGAAATGGAAATACTAGCATAACATTTTCACTAAAGGTACCTCTTGTCGGGCTAAATGATCCAAGTCCTTTGAAGAGCAGGGCCAGAGATCCATGAAACTATATCGTGATGCAACATCTTGCAATGAACTTTCCAATGATGAAGGTCCCTCTTCACCTGCTCCGGTAAGTGCTGCTTTTTTCCTTTGTTCAACCTATATGAATCATGAATTCAACAGATTACTGCTTGTGTAAGATGAGGATCAAAATTAGCAACAATAATCCAGCACTAGCTTTTTGTAAAATTTATATGTAGACAAACAAATAATGTTTATAGCTTTAGTATCCCAAGTAATGTTTATTCCCGAACCCTGTATAGCTGATGAGGATCTCAAGTCTTCTATCAAATTAAATTGCACAGCTACTTGCAAGTGGCCCTCTACCGCAGTGGTGGAGAGGAGTGTCGCCCTTGCACCACGGCATGGGTTCGAACCCCGCTCCTTAATCTGACATCTAATTTAACAAATCTATCATTTGACCCAAAAAAAATTGCACAACTACTTCAAATTGACCAATGAACCATCAACCATTGTGTGTCATCTTATAATAAGATATCATATATAGAACCAGCACAAAAGAGTAAAATAAAACCACAGTACTGTTCCCTACGATATATATTTACAGCAGTATATACTTGTGTGCTGATATTTCCTGAGGTGCAAAAGGGGTTCCAACACATGAATTCCCAAGAGTCAACAATCAACGTGTGCTCATTTGCAGATAGATTTCGAGTTGGACATTAGATTTCTTTTCATATTCTACTCAATACTTTGAAGGTGAAAAGGAAGTGGGTTACATGCCTTATAAGTATAGGATTCCTAAACACTTCAAAAATAGGAAAAACTAACTTATTTCCTAATCTAAACTGGTTGGGATTACAAAGAAAACCTACTTCCCAATTCTTATGGGAAATGTTTTGTGCACATTCCTTTTCACCTTCACAACACCAATTGGAAACATAAACCTTTTTGGCCTTGGTATTTTGATGAGCCAAATCACAACATATATTAAATCATTACGAACTTAAAATACAGAATAGCTTTCTTGACAAAACTACATAACACTTGTACACTCTTTCCAAACTAATAGGAAATTATTTCTAAAATCAAAGAGTATTATTCAGGTACAAATTTATCGAACAAATGCTGGCAAAGGGTTGAATAAACTTGTTTTACCAAATCCATAAACAAATTTCACAATTATTACTAAGCAGAGAAACTCACTGTTTTCACCAGCTTAGGGGAGCCTGTTGGCATAAGGTCTACTAACGGCAATGAGCCAAAACAACTCAAGCAAAAACGAGAGTAAAATAATCAAATAGGAAAAAACTTTAAAATTAAATTTTAAAAAAAAATATTAAGATTAAAATGGGATAATGCATTGCAAACTAAAAGGAAAGATCATATTTAGTACTACCTTCAACATGCTAGCCAAATCTCCATAAGTTTGCTCAAAAATGGTGAATCGCTTCCATACCTAAGAAGGAATATCCATCAGAATCTGGGATTCAATATTAAAAAAAAAAAACCAATAAAAACAAAAGTTTGGAGAAGTGTGCAATAATCAGTAATGCAGATGACTATAGTACTTAATCATAACAAAGCATCGGTTAAGAAATAAATAACCCACCACATAATAAAAATAGAGCTAATACAAACACGAGCAAACATGTACACTTATGTGAATGGCAATAGGTGTGTACCTCGACAGATTCTTCTGATGGTAATGAGCTTAATGCCCTCTCAAATAAGGCCCGAATATTTCTATCATCATTCAAACGAGTTAAAAAGTCTGCATATCTGCAACATTAAGGACACGATAACCAATAAGAAAAACACAAAGAGATACTTCACAACCCAAAATACTACCAAGGCAATAATAAATCATAAGAGCAAAGATATCATATCCTTCAATATCCTTGAATGACTAATATTATGAAATACAAAATAGGGTTGCCAGTAACATAACAAATCTGCCTCAAAGTCACTACTTGGCCAACCATATGTTAGAGCCATACAACACAATGCAGCCACAGGTGGAATCCATTATGCCAATAAGGAACTCATTTTGTGGAGATGTGCCCTCTCACTTTGGTGGTGTGTTTGGAAGAACAAGAACAAGAGAACTTTTGACAGTAAGGAGGAGGAAGTGGGTGCAATCTGGGATAGAGTCATATTACTTCTCTGGGAATCTCGGTCAAAATGTCTAAAACATTACTTTTTGTGTGATTTTTCTTGATAGGATTGGTTCTTTGTATAGGAAGCTTTCTGGGATGGAGTTATGCCTGTTGGTTTAGGCTTTCTCTTTGGGTTTTTGTGTTTCTTCTGTTGTTTTGTTGTTTCTTGGACCACTTGTCCATGCTTGTATTCCTTGTGTTTTCTCTTTATAAATCTTGTGTCTTATACCATAAAATCAAATAAGAGTCGATGCCACAACAGTAGATTGCACGTGGAAAACATAGAGAGCTCTTCAATTCACCCAAAGAAAGCCTGTAAAGAATTCCTTCTCTCTCATATGCCTAGAGGATCCTTTTACTAAGTGTACTGGACATGCATATATCATTTCACATAGAAAACCCAGAATAAAAATCAGCAACTAAATTTAGTATTATGAACAAGAACATGAACTCACTCAAGAATGTAAACAGGCTCATGCATAAACCGTTTCAACCCAGCTTCAAAAACGTTGTGTGCCATCTGCATGAATGTAAAGAAGTAGTAAATGCTTGTTCCTTTACCTTGTGAATGCCCATTCCGTTGTTTGGGGGAACGTGGTAGAGCATTCCCAAAGGAAATATGTGAACTAATCAATCAAATAGGCATTCCATAATATTCATTCCAATGCAGATTAAATTCTACTCCTTGAAGCCAAACATCACCTTACACTTTACCATGGCTTTCTTTAACAACCAGTAGAAGAAAAGAACTGAAGAATTTCTTTTGGTAAATCTATGTGAGAAAATTTTATAGGCAATATATATGACCCAAACACCAATAAATCCTATCCAACAATTCAGCACCGACTACTGCTCATCATGAAAAATTTGATTATAACTAAAATAACCTTTGGATCCTTGTCAAGACAGAAAGCCATCATCGCATAAGCAACATAAACATGGTACGTGCAGTTTGGAGATTTGCGCGCCTCTAAAAAGTACTTGCGAGCTGCTTCCACTCCTTCATTTCTCCTTAAAAAGCGAATAAACTGCAGTGAAAAACACAAGCATGAGATTTTTCCAAAGCATGGTCAAAATGAGGATGTAAAGAAGTATACGGCCTCCTCTTTGAAGCATATAAAACGTATTGGTTTTACCATGAGCCACCAGCCAAGCAAAAAATTGAACTTTAGTGGGAGCACCAGTCTTACAAAATTAAATCATTGCAACCAATGGTACGCTGACTGAGATTATCTAGGCACAGAAAGAAGAATAGACTTGCCAGGAAAAAGAGAAAAACCCCAAGACCCCTGAGTCAAGCATATTACACGCCAAAAGGAGGATCACATTCACTAAAAGATCCAAAAGAAAATTCCTACCTGTATATGAGCAAGTGCTGATGTGTTAATACCATCTCCCAAAAGGCCTTCATATATTTTCTTTGTGGGCTTCATGAAACCAGTAGCACATTTAAAAATCAAGAACCAATAAGTCCAGCTCAACTGCAACTACGAAGCCTTAAGAGCCAAAAATCTTAATACCTGAATTGCTCCACGGGATTCTTCCAGCTCTGCATAAGCATATCTAAGCATCTCCGAGTCTGATAAGGAAAGAGAGAGGGAGAGACATGTAAGCAACTTCAAGCTATCCATAGAAAATTTCATAGGAGCACTACATTCATGCTTATTAAACAGTCAAGCCAAAGTTGCAAGATCAAAGAAATAAGAAAACAGAAGTTCTTAAATCCTTACAAGCAAAGCTTCTAAAACAGAAACAAACAGAGAACTTTAAAAAGCAAGAGACAATAAAGGATAGGAAAAAAATTACCAGGAAGAACCTTCAATGCTCTTTGAAATACTTTAATTGCAGTATCTACAGAACCACTTTTTGCATGCCACATGGCATAGTCATACCATAAATCAGGATAATGGTATAGATACATTAGACACTGGAAACCAAGGGAATGCAGTATGGAAGTCAGAAATAAAATTTTAAACAAACAGTTAACAATTGCATAAATAAATTAAAATAAATGCACACAATTTTAAGTGCATAATCCCCATTATGTGCACGCATAATTTAGTATATTTATTTAATCAACTACACTTCGAAATATGTTCTTCATGATGGTTGAGTAAATAACAAAAGTCAAGAAGAGAAAATCAGATCAAGAATAGGACTCCATGAATGTGCAGACACTAATTAAAATCATACGCAAGAATATAGGGGAGAAAACATAACCTAATGTAAAGAAATACTAAATGAAACACAGTAATTGCTAACTTTCATAACAGCATTATTCACAAGATTACATTTTTGTGCTACTGAATTACTTGCATCTGTAATTGACACATAACTTAAATCATATTATTTAACCAGCACATTATCCCCATCATACAATTGAGGATTACAAAGACACAAGGTGACATTCAAAATTAAAATCTGTTCGAGCCAGAAGAAAAAGACCGTGAAGTTGCATTTGTTCAACCATGCATCAACAGAGACAAAATAGAATATCATCTACTAATTGTATGAATTAAAAGGAGAAAAAGATATATTTTCCTTACCTGCTCATAAGTGAAAATGATTCGCTTGTTGGATGATCCATTGTCTATCCTTTGTGGGTTTCCTCTGCAATGCAATTACAAGGTATTTGATTGAAGAACGCAATATTCTCAAACAAAGCATGACGAGAGATTGAAAAACCAATAATAATATTCTCCATTGTTCTTACACGATTCAATTGTGGTGGAAATTGTTTCAGGAGGTTAGAGCTAGTTGGGTCATTCCAAAGGGTTGCTTCGAGCTTCTAAGCACCAAGTTTCAGGCCCTAGGAATTGGGAGGAAAGCCAAAGTTTTGTGGGGTTGTCTGGTCTCGGCAGTTTTTTGGAACGTATGGCTGGAGCGTAACAAAAGAATTTTTGAGGATTATACGGGTGTGGGGGTAGAAGTACTTTGGGGAAGAGTAAAATATTGGGCAGCCCTATGGGCTTCAGTCTCAAATGATTTTAATAATTACTCTCTTTCTCAATTACTGTGGGATTTGTTAGCAGCAGTAAAGTGAGTTAGGTCTAGCTTTTATTGCTGTAGTCAAATCCTATTGAGAGTTTTTCTTGTATCTTGTAAATGGTGGATTTCTTATCCACTTCAGTGTATTTCTATTCTCTTTTATAAAATGTTTGTTTCTTCTCAAAAAAAAAATAATGAGTATCCAAATATGGGGCAAGTTATTCATTCTAATTTTTAACTATTTGTCAAGAGCCAATGCAGCCTCAGAGACTTAAATCAACTTGATTTCATAATTCATATACATTATTGGTTCATTCCCTGACTGAGTTCTTCGGCCATATGGTTTTCTAACTGGGCATCAGAGTCTTCTTTGCAAGTGGTCACGAACTTGCTCCTTGTTCCATACTTCTTAGTTGGTTAGTAGGTTGTAGGGTGGGGCTGCACCTATATGCTTGTTTCTTTCCCCCTATCAATCTGCGTCTCCACATGCAGGATGGGCTGCGTGTGGAACATCCAACGCTTGCCCATAGAGATAATCTGTATGGTTCTATAAAAAGGTGGCTGTGAAGAACTCTTTCCTAGTAGTTATCTAATCTGTGTTCTTTCTAACTCATGCACTCGCTGAGTAGTAATGCTCAATCATATCTTTTTCACATTTGACATATGAGGACATTCTAAGAAGTACAAAACATCTTAAAAGGGTAAATTTGCACAAAAGAGTACTCAGATAATATATTTTTCACAATCGTCCCTACAAGCATCTCATTCTTAACTTCATATGCCAAATAATTGCAGATTAATAAATTAAGCAGGAAGGTTATGCAACCCCCGTAAATTCAGTCTAAATGTCAGTAACTTACTTTTCAAAAGCTATAAATGCATAACCAACTAAATAAGGTTATGCAACCCCTGTGAATTCATAGTCTATAAATGCATAACCACTAAAGAAAAAGAAAGTATGGCAGTAACTTACTTTTCGAAAGCTAATAACTTTTTCCATGCCATCCATTGTCGTTCTTCCTGTAAGAGCACAATACATGATTAGCATTTTCCATTACAAAATATGTGGGAAGAACTTCCAATCTCTCTCATACAAGGCACCTTACTGAAAACCAAATATGTCCTTGTTCCCATGCAACCCATTTATACAGGCAAGTCGGTAAATGTCTTAAGAGTGCATATATTACAATATAACTAGTAAATCAAGACAAAACCATATACCATGGGTCGACACTCGAATTAACCCAAAATTAAATAGTAGGAATCCATGCAGGGGAAAAAGAACATTTAATTTCAAGCAGTGTATTAAAAGCATGAGGCGTGGGCAAGGCGTCCAAGGGATAGCCCGGCCTAGGCGTGAGGCAAAGCCTCACGGGACCTAAATTTTTTAATATATACACTGAGCGTACACATATATTATATTAAAAAAAAGATTATTAACCAATAATCACCTTAAGCACACACATATACAACAACAACAACAACAAAGCCTTTTCCCACTAAGTGGGGTCGGCTATATGAATCCTAGAACGCCATTGCGCTCGGTTTTGTGTCATGTCCTCCGTTAGATCCAAGTACTCAAGTCTTTTCTTAGGGTCTCTTCCAAAGTTTTCCTAGGTCTTCCTCTACCCCTTCGGCCCTGAACCTCTGTCCCGTAGTCACATTTTCGAACCGGAGCGTCAGTAGGCCTTCTTTGCACATGTCCAAACCACCGGAACCGATTCATATTTCCTTCAATTTTGGCTACTCCTACTTTACCTCGGATATCCTCATTCCCAATCTTATCCTTTCTCGTGTGCCCATACATCCCACGAAGCATCCTCATCTCCGCTACACCCATTTTGTGTACGTGTTGATGCTTCACCGCCCAACATTCTGTGCCATACAACATCGCTGGCCTTATTGCCGTCCTATAAAATTTTCCCTTGAGCTTCAGTGGCCTACGACGGTCACACAACACGCCGGATGCACTCTTACACTTCATCCATCCAGCTTGTATTCTATGGTTGAGATCTCCATCTAATTCTCCGTTCTCTTGCAAGATAGATCCTAGATAGCGACAACGGTCACTTTTTGTGATCTTCGCTAGATTGCTCCGGTCATTAGTGTAGATAAGTATATAAATGGATAGAGATAGGAAAGCAAACACAAGATGTACGTGGTTCACCCAGATTGGCTACGTCCACGGAATAGGGGAGTTCTCATTAATTGTGAAGGGTTTACACAAGTACATAGGTTCAAGCTCTCCTTTAGTGAGTACAAGGGAATGATTTAGTACAAATGACATTAGGAAATATTGTGGGAGAATGATCTCGTAACCACGAAACTTCTAAGTACCGGAGTGTGGTATCGTCTTGACTTGCTTTATCTGTCTCATAGGTAGATGTGGCATCTTCTCTGGAAGTACTCTTCCTCCATCCAGGGGTGGTATCTGTAACTGGTGGAGATGCACAAGGTAATGTATCAATTTCACTTGAAGCTTACTTGTAGTTTCAGGCTTGGTCAAGCGCGATACAAACCATGTAGTAGGAGTCCCCCAAGTCGCCGGGCTAGGGGATCTGCTGAAAGAGGTGACAGACAAGGTAAGCAATCAGAGCTCCGGCTGATTGTTCACATTCTCCCTATCTTGCAGGCAGCATGAAGGATAAAAGAGAAGAAAAATGAGAAGAGATGATATGGGATACTTTTGCTTTTGAAGAAGTAACTTTCCACAGGCTTATTCTTGAACCGGGCTGGAGGGTTTTCTGGTTTCCTCCAGAGTATAAGGCCGACTGAAGAATTTGAGGGTCAAAACAAGTCCATCAAATCTAGAGTACGTTCGACCCTGCTGATATGGGATACTTTTGCTTTTGACAGAGTAGTGGATGTATCGGCACGTGTGCTGTTACGCTTGTCTCCACATGCTTCCTTGTATCCTTCTCACTTGCCCTATCTGTTCCTCAGGCAGATGCGGTATCTTCCCTGGAAGCATAAGATGTTGAAGATGAGTACTCGAGAGCAATGCCAGGTAAGTAATCAGGTAAGGGGTTCCAGGCAGTCAGTTCCGGGCTGGAAGCTTGATTCCAAGTGCTGACTGATTGCTCTCTCTTTCTCCTTGTCTTGCAGGTAAGAACAAGGCCAAAGGAAAAGACAGGGAAAAAGCATGATATGGGATACTCTTGCTTTTAACCCTGATGATATGAGATATTCTTGCTCTAGTATAGCTTGTTTACAGAGGTATTATCGGGGGGAAAGAAAGCTGAATATTTCGAAAGGCTTCGTTGGGAGTGCCCTCTCAGATAAGAGAAAGGGTTGAGCATTTTTGCAAGTCTGCCTGTCCGTTAGGGATGGAGGTCGACATATATAGGAGTCTCCCTAACATCAAGTAATAATGCTATTCCTTTACCCTGCTTGGTCATATCACGGTAGTGGGAGCTGCCAGCTTCACATGTTTTAACTCTGTCAGAGCACTTTGAAAAAGTGGTCTGTGGTATCTGGAAAGCTGATGTTGCGTGTGAAGATTACAGACAAGCTTTATCCAAGGAGATCCAGCTCTTGAAGTTGGGAAAGTGGTGCCTCTTCGATTTTCGAACAAGCAATCTTGTCGGGGATCTGGCTCTCGAGATTCGAAGAACGATGCCTCTTCGATTTTTGAGAAAGCAATCCTGCTGGGGGTCTGGCTCTCGAGATTCGGAGAGCGGTGTCTCTTCGATTTTTGAGAAAGTAATCATGTTGGGAGTTTGGCTCTCGAGATTCGGAGGGCGGTGCCTCTTCGATTTTGGAGCAAGCAATCTTGTTGGGAGTGTTTTCTCGAATGTGAGTAAAGGTTGGGCATGTTTGCTAGTCTACCTTGCCACGAAGCACAGAGGTTGACACACAGGGACTTTCCAATTATCCAGCAGTGGTACTGTTCCTTTACCCTCTCTTCGATTTTTGAGAAAGTAATCATGTTTGGAGTCTGGCTCTCGAGATTCGGAGGGCGGTGCCTCTTCGATTTTGGAGCAAGCAATCTTGTTGGGAGTGTTTTTCTCGAATGTGAGTAAAGGTTGGGCATGTTTGCTAGTCTACCTTGCCACGAAGCACAAAGGTTGACACACAGGGACTTTCCAATTATCCAGCAGTGGTACTGTTCCTTTACCCTCTCTTCGATTTTTGAGAAAGTAATCATGTTGGGAGTCTGGCTCTCGAGATTCGGAGGGCGGTGCCTCTTCGATTTTGGAGCAAGCAATCCTGTTGGGAGTGTTTTCTCGAATGTGAGTAAAGGTTGGGCATGTTTGCTAGTCTACCTTGCCACGAAGCACAGAGGTTGACACACCGGGACTTTCCAATTATCCAGCAGTGGTACTGTTCCTTTACCCTTGTGGGTAATAATATGGTAGCTAAACCTTCAAAATTTATGTGTCTAAACTTTGTTAGTGTTGTTTCTTTGCAATTCTTTTACCCTTCTTGGTCAGAGCGATGTAGCGGGAGCTGCAAGCTTCACGTGTCTCAACTTTGTCAGAGAACTTTGGCAAAGTTATCTGTGGTACCCATGAGTTACTGTTGCGTGTGGGAAGTGGGTGATTGAACAGTACGATTCATGTGCTTTCTACTTCGCCAGAAATCTTCGACAGAATGCCCATAATTTCCGCAAAGCTGAGTGTGCGTGTGACAGGTGCTGACAAGGCTGGAAAAGTAGGTGCCTCTTCGATTTCTAAGATCGACCCTCGTGGTCTCTGAGCAGCCCAGCTTTTGAGAAAGCAAGCCTCTTCGATTTCTGAGATCGGCCTTCGTGATCTTTGAGCAGCCCAGCTTTTGAGAGAAAGCAAACGCCTCTTCGATTTCTGAGATCGACCCTCGTGGTCTCTGAGCAGCCCAGCTTTTGAGAAAGCAAACGCCTCTTCGATTTCTGAGCAGGCGCCTCTTCGATTTCTGAAGCTTCGTCGAGTGCAGATTTTTATAGGGGCTGACATTAAGTTCCAAAGCACACTTGAATATCCACCAGTAGAAGCTCCATTCTTGCACTTCTAAGATCTTGATTTGTCCGACCTCTTCTCTCTTCAACACCTTTGAAAATGTCTGGCCCCTCCGACCGTCGTTTTGACTTGAACCTTGTTGAAGAGGCAGCCCCGCCTTCTCCAGACAACATATGGCGCCCATCCTTCGTCTCCCCTACTGGTCCTCTTACCGTTGGGGATTCCGTGATGAAGAATGATATGACCGTTGCGGTAGTGGCCAGGAACCTTCTCACTCCCAAAGATAACAGACTACTTTCCAAACGGTCTGATGAGTTGGCTGTTAAGGATTCTCTGGCTCTCTCAGTGTTCAGTGTGCAGGTTCTGTGTCTAATATGGCCCAACGCCTATTTGCTCGAACCCGCCAAGTTGAATCATTGGCGGCTGAAGTGATGAGTCTCAAACAGGAGATTAGAGGGCTCAAGCATGAGAATAAACAGTTGCATCGGCTCGCACATGACTATGCTACAAACATGAAGAGGAAGCTTGACCAGATGAAGGAATCTGATGGTCAGGTTTTACTTGATCATCAGAGATTTGTGGGTTTGTTCCAAAGGCATTTATTGCCTTCGTCTTCTGGGGCTGTACCGCATAATGAAGCTCCAAATGATCAACCTCTGATGCCTCCTTCTAGGGTTTTGTCCAGTACTGAGGCTCCGAATGATCCCCCTCCGGTGCCTTCTCTTTCTGGGGCTCTACCGACTGCTGAGACTTCTCCTAAGCAACCTTTGTGAAGGCTCCCTCGTGTTTGTTTATTTTGACTCAAGTATATGTACATATTTGTAACTTATCGGGGATATCAATAAATAAGTTTTCCTTCATTTCAACGTATTGTGTTAAATACACCAAAGCCTTCTTCGCTAAGTTCTTTGAATTTTCTTTTGTTGAAGCTTGTATGTTGAAGCTTTGTGAGTGGAGCATGTAGGTTGAGGTAGTGTTCCCTTAATTTCCCGAGTGAGGAAAACTTCTCGGTTGGTTTTAGGGTTTTAGGTATGAGCACACATATAACAATGCACGCAGAAAGCACACACATCCATTATATAAAAAATAAAAATCAGAAAGAAAAAAAAGGGGCAGAGAGACGATAGTGCAAGGAAGAGGTATGAGGCAGTTAAAACCCTACCCAAAATTTGGGTTTGGGAGTTAAATAAATAAATAAAGCCTTGAGGTGCGCCTCCCGCTGCCTAGGTGGCTCTGACGAAGCCTTACGCCCACTCCCTCTGAACAGAGGAGGCAACCCTCAAGCCCAACCTCAGAGGGCGCCCTGAGGCGAGCCTTTTAAAACATTGATTCAAGTAAATTTTTTGTTTCCAAAGCAAGGGGAAGCAACTTTGATTGCATGTTTGGATAACAGAAACCAGCTTAAGATAAAATAAAATAAAAAAACATAAACATCTGTGAGCCAACAAACCAGAGTACAGCACAATAAGATGCAAAATTACCTTATAAGAGCCATTTGGTGGTACAGCAAGCATATTCCAGTCAATTTCATCAACATACTTCTTCCGCTCCCTATAAACGGCCCTGGCGCTGTTAAATTTGGGTTGATATTCAGATAACAGTCCTTTTGCCTGCTTAATGTAATAAAATCAGATTGACAATCTTTTAGGTATATTTCATTACTAAGATAAAAAAAACAACTAATGCACACACGAAGACAGTCTGTACATATATGTTTTATACTAGTTTATATTAAGTTTGCATTCCAAAACTAAAAGGTTACCAGTTGACGGCTGACAGAATTTTCAAAATTTTCGTAATCCTTCCAGAGTTGTTCGATGTGATGGGTAGGAGTAACAATGGCTTTCTGGTATACTTTTCGCACAGCAGTCATGCGCTGCGACTCTTCCTGTGTGTTTAAAGCCTGCAACAACACGTTTTGAAAATAACTCCTTGACATGAAAAAACAATCAACAACAGCTACACAGTTTCGGAGGCACGCAACAAAAATACAAGCAGCCTATGCGACCCCCATCTTCTTCTCCCCACCCGCCTTTACTTACTTCAAATTATCCCCATATAAAATTATTTGTAACTAAAACAAAACTTCCGAAAATTCAAAAACCTTGCGAAAATGTCCATGGCAGCAAGACAAGGCCATGGAAATACCATGGACTGGTAGAGACAGGCTAGGGCTGGAGTTTAGAGCATTCCCTTGTAATGGGTATGGGAAAAGTCAACGGTCTGGTGAGAAGGGGCATGGAAAATTGGCAATGCCAATGCTACCTTTAAAATAGGGCTGCAAATTCTGGTTAATTAGTTTTAGCATGAGACGTAGCAAATGGAACAACATCTTGTGATATTCAATTCTCATAAGTAAACACTCAAATCCACAATTAAGGTCTTTCCTAGATTGCAGCTTTAATTTTTTGATCCAACAATTGGTGTAAATTATTTACATCAAGTGATACCAGAGCCACTTGATCAAACCAGTGAATTTACCAGACCTCGGTACCGATTGTTCAGTCACTTTCCAGTATTCTCTCAAAACTCTGAGTAACTTCCTGAGTTATGCTTCAGAGAACACACCTAACAAAATCTCAGTCCAACATTGTTGGATAAAAATCAACTCTTGCTCTATTGTCTGAAGTAGACGATATCCTTTTTCTGTTTATATCCCAGTTCACCCATTAGAATTCATATTAAAAGAAAACATAAAGGAAGAAATAACAGACCGGCAAAGACTTTAAAAAAGTGAGGTACTCCATCCACACAGGCCCGGATGCTATATCTGCTCCTGGTAGCACATGCAAAAAATAAAAACAAAACACATTAAACCACACTGAATTAAGAGCATGTTTCAATTCACTAAATGGACTAATATATTATATAATGCAAGTATAAGCAGTAAATGCTTAGTTAAAAAATACATCCCTCAGTTTTAGAAACAAAATATTTCATAACATATCATAACTATGTCAGATAAAATATAACCTTACTAATGTGAAAAAAAATTAGAACCTTCAAAAATTGGTAAAAGAATCAAGTCTAAAAAACTTGTCATGGACTGCGTAGTCTGAAACTTCCAAACTCGTTTGAATGCATCAACATGTCAGCTTAGCACCCATCTCCTCATGTTTAAAACCACACCATTCAAACGGAAAACCTTGTCATTCAAAGGAACTTCATTTTTGTTCTACATTTTTCACCAATTACGAGATGGTTTATTTCCTAAAGCTACTATCTTCAGAACCTATGTTTTAGGGTCTAAATGCCCTCAACCATAGTACTTAAACCATAAACCCTAAGCCCTGAAGTGGATATTTCAAAAAACGATTGCCAATCATTCGCACAGAAAAGGATTCCCAAACATGAGATCCCACTCGTCTAGCAGCGGCTTGTGTGTGTGTGCATATTTCTGTTTCAATTTTGAAGTTATCCTTTAGAGTCCCTTTATTTCTCATCATATAGCAGATCAAGATGAAACACTTCGGTAATATTTGTTCTTTACCTACAGGTGAGAGATAACCTATCAAAACTTGAAGTGTTTAAATTATTAAATAAAGTTAAAAGAACGTACCAACATAACTGAGCATAAAATCAAAAGCTTTTCTAGTCTCTTCCTGACCCTCTACCCCCTTCTTGTCATTGACCTTTCTGATGAAACGAATGTAGCATCGCCTACAAAGCCAATACAAGCAAGACAATGGAGAACTTTAAATAAATAATAGGAGAAAGACATTTCCAAATATGGAAAAAATTGGATAAGTTGTGAGGAAAAGATCTTATGAAGGAATGAAGTTTTAGAGGAAAACAAGAAAACATGGTTATTTCTGTTCTTTTGAATGGATGATAGAGTGGGTTCAAGAAATAAATAATCCAAATATTAGAACCATTGTAATTGCTTGTCACATTTGACTATATCAAAAAAAAAAAAAAAGAAAAATAATTTGACCTCCATTCCCCATTCAGAAACCAAGCATATGACATCATAATCTTGAATCACCAAAAAAAAGTAATCAATAAAATAGTTTCCTATAAATCGCTTATCTATGAAATTAGGTAAACTTCAACTAAAAGCAACCAAGATATTGCTGACAGCATTTTGGCCGTAGAGTGCAATATACCAAAGAGGAATTTGCAGACAATTCAACAGACACCGGCTAAATATCTGTTTTGTGGCATCATCATTATTTACAGCCATTTGCGCCTCCACATATTGCTTCCAATATTTTGCCTGGAAAGAAAATAAATAGATGTAAATCAATCAAATACAAAAAACAATTTCTGCATCTCCAAATGTTAATATGGCACACTTATGTGCCCTGTGTCCAGTGATACTTTAAACGCTCAACATAAGCTAAATAAAACAGTTTAAAATGGAGGGAAGTAATTGATCTAGAATTCTAAGACTTTGTCAATGTTTTGAAGTGAAACTGTTATAGACTATAGAGTTTTCATGACTTATTCAACATCCGTATTGTACTATTATCCAAGTAGAAATAGAATTGCACTGAAGAACAGAATGACCTAGAAAGACAAAGTCACAAGATAAAAAGTTTATTATCTGTCTAGATATACAGCAGTTACAAGGAACTCACCGCAGTGGGAAACACCGTTAAAAGCTGCTCGTATATTGGTGCTGCCTCTGTAATGGGCAAACGCTAAGTGGAAAGATATTAACAATAATTAGGGTACATTCTATTCCTCCAAAATTCCAAATAAACTGTCCCCAGAAAAAGTTGAAACTAAGGCAGAGTTGCAGTGTCATACTAGTGCCTCATTGGCTTGATTTTCGCTGGCTTCAACACTGTATTTATCATCGATGAATTTGTGATCTGAAAAGTTGTGAAAAATCCATCAGTATATGAGGTCTTGGTTCTAGATAGCAAAAACTCTCAATCAAAAATTAAACGGCCTATATAGCAAAAACTCACCTTGATCTCCAACTTTTCGAGACTCGGGTTCCATATTCCAATGGAATTATAGTTGTAGGGCTGCATTACAGAAAGAATTTATTTAACATAATTGCAGAGTTGAAAGTGCAAACATCTATTTCATGTGATTTAATAACTAAAGGAATTGAAATTTCAACAAAACAATTTGTACGAACATCAAAACAATTTGCCATCTACTTTCTCGTTCAAAATTACCAACATACTATAGATTGAAATACTCTAAACCTTAGTGATAAGGAGAAAACCAAAATGAACCACTATAAGATTAGCGAGAACCCCTGAAAAAAAATCCATGATAAAAAGAAGCTAGTTATTACCTAATAGTATTAGCAAATTAAAAAAAAAAATGAAGTGATAAATAAATTGAATTACACAAACCTCTTTAATTGAAGAAAATAATGAAGCAGAAAACCAACCAGCCGAAGAAACATTACAGAAGAAGTAGAGAGGGGGAAGAGAAGAGAAAGTGAACAAATTCAATCTAAAATATGACGGATTAAAGACGACTCAAGTAGGAAGACAAGGGAGTTCCCACACGGGTGGGCTGGGCTGGGCTGGGCTTTTGGGCCTAAATTTGTTCTAGGACGCGTAAACCTAAACCTCCCTCTCGTGTGTTAACTCTCTATGGTGCTCGTCACTAAATACATATTAATTGTTCAGGTTGTCAGGTGATGAAATTTTAGAGCTTGCAAGGGGGGAGTATGGCAAGAGAGATGGAGGAGATAGATCAAAGTGCTCCATACAATTTAATCGATATGATATGTTTATTCGGAGAGCAAATTTGATCGTGGTGATGGTTTTTATTTGCCCTATATGCTTCTGGACTAATATTTCCAGAATGGTTTTGATGCTCATTTAAGCTATCCAAGTCCTTATTCCTCACAGCCTAATTTCATAAAATCAATAGTTTTCCTCATGATTAAACAAATGCTCTAATTTCATAAACAATTAAATTACCCCCAACAAAAAGATTGAAAGTTTCGGGTAAATAAGTAAAAGGGGAACTGCAAATGCCGAATTTGGGAAATTGAATAATTAATACAACAACAACAAAGCATGTTCCCACTAAGTGAGGTCGGCTATGTGAATCCTAGAACGTCATTGTGCTCGGTTATGTGTCATGTCCTCCGTTAGATCCAAGTACTCTAAGTCTTTTCTTAGGGTCTCTTCCAAAGTTTTCCTAGGTCTTCCTCTACCCCTTCGGCCTTGAACCTCTGTCTCGTAGTCACATCTTCGAACTGGAGCGTCAGTAAGCCTTCTTTGCACATGTCCAACCCACTCATTCCTAATCTTATCCTTTCTCATGAGCCCACACCTCCAACGAAATATCCTCATCTCCGCTACACCCATTTTGTGTACATATTGATACTTCACCGCCCAACATTCTGTGTCATACAGCATCGCCGACCTTATTGTCGTCCTATAAAATTTTCCCTTGAGCTTCAATGGCATACGATGGTCACCCAACACGCCGGATGCACTCTTCCACTTCATCCATCCCGCTTGTATTCCATATATTCTGTCTTTGATCGGCTTAGGCGAAGACCTTTAGATTCTAACACTTCTCTCCAAAGGTTAAGCTTCGCATTTACCCCTTCCTGAGTTTCATCTATCAACCCTATATCGTCTGCGAAAAGCATACACCAAGGAATAACATCTTGAATATGTCCTGTTAACTCATCCATTACCAATGCAATAAGGTAAGGACTTAAGGATTGTTGATGCACAAAATCAGTGAGGACTTTGGTACAACAGAAAGTATTAAGTTTGTGACATTCGCTAGATTGCTCCGGTCATTAGTGTGGATAAGTATGTAAAAGGATAGAGACAGGAGAGCAAACACAAGATGTACGTGGTTCACCCAGATTGGCTACGTCCACGGAGTAGAGGAGTTCTCATTAATTGTGAAGGGTTTACACAAGTACATAGGTTCAAGTTCTCCTTTAGTGGGTACGAATGAATGATTTAGTACAAATGGCATTAGGAAATATTTTGGGAGAATGATCTCCTTTTATAGAAGAGAGTTTCTAGCCTTGTTCTGACATTTGTGATTGGCTTCCGATGTTGACACGTGTCGCGCTATGATTGGCTTTCAATGTCGACACGTGTCGCTCTGTGATTAGCCTCTTAGTTGGAGGGGAAGCTCCTCGGTTGGGGACTTGCAAGATCCAAGCTGCTGAATAATCACGAAACTTCTAAGTACCGAAGTGTGGTATCGTCTTCACTTGCCTTATTTGTCTCATAGGTAGATGTAACATCTTCTCTGAAAGTACTCTTCCTCCGTCCAGGGGTGTTATCTTTAACTGGTGGAGATGCACAAGGTAATGTATCAATTTCACTTGAAGCTTACTTGTAGTTTCAGGCTTGGTCAAGCGCGATACAAACCATGTAGTAGGAGTCCCCCAAGTCGCCGAGCTAGGGGATCTGCTGAAAGAGGTGACAGACAAGGTAAGCAATCAGAGCTCCAAGCAATCAGTCCTAGATCAGAAGTTTGATTTCGAGTTCCGGCTGATTGTTCTCATTCTCCTTATCTTGCAGGCAGAATGAAGGATAAAGAGAAGAAAATGAGAATATATAATATGAGATACTTTTGCTTTTGAAGAAGTAACTTTCCACAGGCTTATTCTTGAATTTGGCTGGAGGGTTTTCTGGTTACCTCCAGAGTATAAGGCCGACTGAAGAATTTGAGGGTCAAAACAAGTCCATCAAATCTAGAGTACGTTCGACCCTGCTGATATGGGATACTTTTGATGTTGACAAAGTAATGGAAGTATCGGCATGTGTTATGTTACGCTTGTCTCCACATGCTTCCTTGTATCCTTCTCACTTGCCCTATCTGTTCCTCAGGCATACGTGGTATCTTCTCTGGAAGCATAAGATGTTGAAGATGAGTACTCGAGAGAAATGCCAGGTAAGTAATCAGGTAAGGGGTTCCAAGCAGTCAGTTCTTGACTGGAAGCTTGATTCTAAGTGCTGACTGATTGCTCTCTTTCTCCTTGTCTTGCAAGTAAGAACAAAGCCAAAGGAAAAGATAAGGAAAAAGCATGATATGTGATACTCTTGTTTTTAACCCTGATGATATGAGATATTCTTACTCTAGTGTAGCTTGTTTGCAGAGGTATTATCGGGGGAAAGAAAGCTGAGTATTTCGAGAGGCTTCGTTGGGAGTGCCCTCTCAGATATGAGGAAGGGTTGAGCATTTTTGCAAGTATGCCTGTCCGTTGAGGATAGAGGTCGACATATATAGGAGTCTCCCTAACAACAAGTAGTAATGTTATTCATTTACCCTTCTTGGTCATAGCACTGTAGTGGGAGCTGCCAGCTTCACGTGTTTTAACTCTGTCAGAACACTTTGAAAAAGTGGTCTGTGGTATCTGGAAAGCTGATGTTGTGTGTGAATATTACAAACAAGCTTTATTCAAGGAGATCTGGCTCTCAAAGTTGAGAAAGCGATGCCTCTTCAATTTTCAAACAAGCGATCCTGTCGGAAATCTGGCTCTCGAGATTCAGAGAATGGTGCCTCTTCAATTTTTGAGAAAGCAATCCTGCTGGAAAAGTCTGGCTCTTGAAATTCGGAGAGCAGTGTCTCTTCAATTTTTGAGAAAGTAATCCTGTTGGGAGTCGGGCTCTCGAGATTCGAAGGGCTGTGCCTCTTCGATTTTGGAGCAAGCAATCTTGTTGGGAGTGTTTTTTCGAATATGAGTAAAGGTTAGGCATTTTTGCTAGTCTACCTTACCACAGAGCACAGAGGTTGACACACAGGGACTTTCCAATTATCCAGCAGTGGTGTTGTTCATTTACCCTTGTGGGTAATAATATGGTAGCTAAACCTTTAAAATTTATGTGTCTAAACTTTGTTAGTGATGTTTCTTTGCTATTCTTTTACCCTTCTTGGTCATAGCGATGTAGTGGGAATTGCAAGCTTCACGTGTCTAAACTTTGTCAGAGATCTTTGGCAAAGTTATTTATGGTACCCATGAGCTGATGTTGCGTGTGGAAAGTGGATGATTGAACAGTAAGATTCACGTGCTTTCTACTTCACCAGAAATCTTCGATAGATTGCCCGTAATTCCGCAAAGCTGAGTGTGCATGTGACAGGTGCTGACAAGGCTAAGAAAGCATGTGCCTCTTCGATTTCTGAGATCGGCCCCCGTAGTCTCTGAGCAACCCAGCTTTTGAGAAAGCAAGCGCCTCTTCGATTTTTAAGATCGGCCCTCATGGTCTTTGAGCAACCCAGCTTTTGAGAAAGCAAACGCCTCTTTGATCTCTAAGATCGGCCCTCGTGGTTTCTGAGCAGCCCAGCTTTTGAGAAAGCAAACGCCTCTTCGATTTCTGAGCAGGTGCCTCTTCGATTTCTAAAGCTCCGTCGAGTGCAGATTTTTATAGAGGCTGACATTAAGTTCCAAAGCACACTTGAATCTCCACCAGTAGAAGCTCTCTTCTTGCACTTCTAAGATCTTGATTTGTCTGACCTCTTCTCTCTTCAACATATTTGAAAATGCCTGGCCCTTCCGACCGTCGTTTTGACTTGAACCTTGGTGAAGAGGTAACCGCGCATTCTCCAGACAACATATGGCGCACATCCTTCTTATCCCCTACTGGTCCTCTTACCGTTGAGGATTCCGTGATGAAGAATAATATGACCGCTGCGGTGGTGGCCAGGAACATTCCCACTCCCAAAGATAACATACTTCTTTCCAAACGGTCTGATGAGTTGGCTGTTAAGGATTCTCTGGCTCTCAGTGTTCAGTGTGCAGGTTCTCTGTCGAATATGGCCCAACGCCTATTTACTCGAACCCACCAAGTTGAATCATTGGCGGCTGAAGTGATGAGTCTCAAGCAGGAGATTAGAGGGCTCAAGCATGAGAATAAATAGTTGCACAGGCTCGCACATGACTATGCTACAAACATGAAGATGAAGCTTGACCAGATGAAGGAATCTGATGGTCAGATTTTACTTGATCATCAGAGGTTTGTGGGTTTGTTCCAAAGGCATTTATTGCCTTCGTCTTCTAGGCTGTACTACGTAATGAAGCTCCAAATGATCAGCCTTCGATGCCTCTTCCTTCTAGGGTTCTGTCCAATACTGAGGCTCCGAGTGATCACCCTCCGGTGCCTTCTTTTTCTGGGGCTCTATCGACTGGTGAGACTTCTCCTAAGCAACCTTTGTGAAGGCCTCCTCTTGTTTGTTTATTTTGACTCATGTATATGTACGTATTTGTAACTTATCGGAGATATCAATAAATAAGCTTTGCTTCATTTCAACGTATTGTGTTAAATATACCAAAGCCTTCTTCACTAAGTTCTTTGAATTTTTCTTTTGTTGAAGCTTGTATGTTGAAGCTTTGTGAGTGAAGCATGTAGGTTGAGGTAGTGTTCCCTTAATTTCTCGAGTGAGGAAAACTTCTCAGGTGGAAACTTGAAAAATCCAAGTCACTGAGTGGGGTCGGCTATATGAATCGTAGAACATCATTGTGCTCGGTCATGTGTCATATCCTCCGTTAGATCCAAGTACTCTAAGTCTTTTCTTA